GCCCACTAGAGCTTGTTTTGGTTGCCATAGTTACGATCGTGACACCTACTTCCGAAGCAACTCTGAACTGCGCACGCGCAGCACAGCTACGCTATTGTAAACAAACCCCACGGTGTTGCTAAGCTAACGAAACGGTTACTTGGGGACATGGCATTTTAGCCTACTTGCACTAAAATAAGAGTAATTATTTTAATTAATTAATTTTTAAGGTTAATAATATTGTGTTTGATTGTAGAGGGGCAGTAACTTTGTAAGATTAGCATTCAGAAACAAGTATTAACCCATTTTTACGCAAAATATACCACAATATGTCATGGGGACTCAAATGGCACCGAATACTAGGAATGACCCACCACTGTTCCAGAGTTTGGGAGCTAAATAGAAAAAGGATCTGCCACCCGCAGTTGATTTTGATATTCTAGGTATCAAATGGCCAGAGTCTTGAGATTGTAGCGGATGTGAAGGACTATAATGCAATAAGAGCTCTCTCAAATACTGAGGTGCTAAACCATTCAGGGTTAATTAGCAAGATTTTAAAATGTATACAATGTTTAATAGGGAGCCAGTGCAGTGTTGACGGAACTGATTTTGATGATTTTGGGTGGTTGCTCTGCATGCTTAATAAACAAACTCCAACTGGTTCAAAATGCAGCAGCTAGAGTTCTTACTAGGAAGGAAAGATTGCTATCAAATAGCACACCTAAACGAAAACGTGTCATGGATTTATTGCATTTTGGGAAATAAATAATACAATTTTATAATAAATCTTTGAAAATCAAAATCTGGATTTGAATTTTTAATGTTATTATAACCTAAAGATGCTATGTGAAAGTTTGAAACAGAAAATAGTGGTTTTCATCTTGCCACTTTCTTGGTAAAGAAAACACATTTTTACTCAAATTAATCTAAATGGATTTATAGCGTTTTGGAACCAAACTCTTCATATCATTCCGTTAGTTTTGCAAATTGCTATGTTTCATCGGGCTGCAAAGAAGTATAGAGCTGAGTATCATCAGCATAACAGTGAAAGCTAACACCATGTTTCCTAATAATGTCTCCCAAGGGTAACATGTAAAGCGTGAAAAGTATCGTTCCTAGTACTGAGCCTTGAGGTACTCCATACTGCACTTGTGATTGGTATGATACCTCTTCATTCAGTGCTATGAATTGATGGCGGTCAGATAAGTACGATTTGAACCATACCAATGCACTTCCTCTAATGCCAACATAATTTTCTAGTCTATTCAAAAGAATGTTGTGGTCGCTTCTAGCCCCTGCTTTAAACTATGAAATTACACTGAGCAGTAGGTGGCAGCATGTGCTCAAGACATCAGCCCTCCATTAAAATAGAGGAAGAAGAAGAAGAAGAAGAAGTCATGTCTTTATAGCATTCAAAGAACTGTTGGTAAGTACAGAGTAACAGGAAGAAATAGACATGAGGAAACTATAATCTCAAGGCTTAGATTTGGTCATACTGCTCTTAATAGCAGTTTGAAGAAAATGGGGAGACATGAAACTGGAAAATGTGAATATTGTAATATGGAGGAAAATGTAGAGCATGTTATAATGAAGTGTCCAAGATACGGAAAGGAAAGAAAGATACTGATTGATGTCCTCAAGGAAAATAAAGAAAAACTTAATTTGATGAACATTTTGGGGAATAAATCAGGGGATAAAAACTTTCAATTTTTAATGCGTTATTTAAAGGACATGGATATATAATAGAATTTAGTGAAGATCCAAATTCAGGAAAACAAATACATGCAGTCATGAGATTTATTAAGAATAGTGGGTTATATAATAGGATATAGGAGGGTTTGTTCATTCTTTTCACACTCCATCACAGTAGGTGGCGATATGCACCTTTGAAGTTGGTTCGCAACTCGCCATTAAATCAAAAGAAGAAGAAGAAGAAGAAGAAGAAGAAGCTAGGCATGCTGTTGGAGAAGCACATGAAGCTGCTGCGGCTGTACGGCGGGCTGCTGATCCAGCGAGCGCACAAACACACCGCGGCGCGGCTCTCCGAGAAGAAGCTGGTGCGTATCCGCGTCACAGCCGCGCGTCAGCGGCCTCTCTCTCCGCACAGAGCCGCTGTTTGACTCGGTCTCTCTCTCCGCACAGAGCCGCTGTTTGACTCGGTCTCTCTCTCCGCACAGAGCCGCTGTTTGACTCGGTCTCTCTCTCCGCACAGAGCCGCTGTTTGACTCGGTCTCTCTCTCCGCACAGAGCCGCTGTTTGACTCGGTCTCTCTCTCCGCACAGAGCCGCTGTTTGACTCGGTCTCTCTCTCCGCACAGAGCCGCTGTTTGACTCGGTCTCTCTCTCCGCACAGAGCCGCTGTTTGACTCGGTCTCTCTCTCCGCACAGAGCCGCTGTTTGACTCGGTCTCTCTCTCCGCACAGAGCCGCTGTTTGACTCGGTCTCTCTCTCCGCACAGAGCCGCTGTTTGACTCGGTCTCTCTCTCCGCACAGAGCCGCTGTTTGACTCGGTCTCTCTCTCCGCACAGAGCCGCTGTTTGACTCGGTCTCTCTCTCCGCACAGAGCCGCTGTTTGACTCGGTCTCTCTCTCCGCACAGAGCCGCTGTTTGACTCGGTCTCTCTCTCCGCACAGAGCCGCTGTTTGACTCGGTCTCTCTCTCCGCACAGAGCCGCTGTTTGACTCGGTCTCTCTCTCCGCACAGAGCCGCTGTGAGCCGCTGTTTCGTGGATCATCGCAGGGTGAAGGTAGCGGCGGGATCGGGTGGGGACGGAGCCTCCTCCTTCCACAGCGAGCCCCGGAAAGAGTGGGGCGGTCCGGACGGGGGAAACGGAGGAGCCGGAGGAGACATCATCATCAAAGGTCATGATTAAACCATGGATTACACACTCATTATTATTATTATTTATTGCCAGCTGAACCTCCTTTGTCATAACATGTATTTGAAGTACCCTATGAGATTTTACGTTTGTAGTTGAATTATTTAACAGCACATATGTTCATGGTTCTCTAATATACACCCACTACTGTAAAAACACAGGTGTGCTGTAAAATAATAAATATTTAAATGTACAGTGGAAAACTTTGCCTTGACTTTAAAGTGGACTCAGACATCGTTTTAGTTGTGATAGTGTCTCATTCTCTGTCACCTTATTATCTTACAACTGCACAGTAAAAAATAAAATCATCATAATTATATTTTACTCTAATGTAGTGTAATTACAGTACGTATATCTTAATTTCTTCACTTGTAAGCATTAAACCCTCAAGCTTTTGGTGTAAACCTGCAGGGTGAGGATTGCAAACATTACACAACGCATCCTCAGAGACGCAGAACTGTTCTGCTGTGAATCGTTAACCAGATCGAGCAAAAATAGTCAGCACTGACCGTATGTGTCTACAGTGTAAACTATCTGTTTACCGCAGTATGTTTCTTCTGTGTGCAGTTGTTAGTTTGTTTTGGGTTCTCAGCGAGATTCTCTCACACACAGACAGGCTGCGCAAGCATCAACCATTATCAATCGCCGTTTACACCAAATCACGGTCAGGGTTTCTTTAGTAGTACCCCAAGGTAAATTTGTTTTGCAGACACCAGATTCAGTAATTCATACTTAATTCATAGAAAGTTATATACACCTAAGATGCCTTGTGGGTGAGTAAAACATGGGCTACTTTTAATTTTTGGGTGAACTAACCCTTTAAAAGGGTCCATAAAACATCAAACATACTATAAACATGATAGAAAAATATCCAAAAACATAAAAAATGAAAAAAAGTCATGACAATGTGCCGTCACACACACTCACCCACCCCTAAAAGGATACAATTCCATGCATAGCAAAGAATATCATCTGCTGCTATTTTTATTCATTCATTCTATCGCTGCAGGTGTGCGAAAGTATTCCTGTGTGGCCTAATTCTCCACCTAGGGGCCACAAACCGGCTGCCAGAGCGGAGGAGCTGAAACTCGGCGTGTAAAGGAACAATCTCTAATAATAAAACTCTCCTTATGCTGCAACTGGACCTGCTGAGTTGGGTTGTGATTCACCTATCCTCTTACTAGCCCACGGGACAATTTGGTTCAAAGAAGTTTTGTTCTTCAAAGACAAACTACTACGGCTGCACGATTATGACAACAATCATAATTGTCGATTATTCCCTTGAAATTGTAATTGCGATTAATTACGATTATCACAATTTACATTGAATGATGTTTACACCATTGTTTGATGCAGCTGCATGCCGTATTTTTATATGAACATAAACTATATGAATGGTATTATAATGTTATACTGAAACTAAAATTAAAATAATGGGAAAAACCCTTAAGATAACATGTAGAAAGAAATAAACATATCTTAAGCACGCAGAATAACATAAGTGGACTTTGAACGATTAATTGCCGCTTTGAACGATTATGTAATTGTGGCATCCATAATTGTAATTGCGATTAGAAATTCGATTAATTGTGCAGCCCTACAAACTACCAAACCATGACACAAGGGAATATGACAAGACTGATGCATTAAAAGCCCGATAAAAGAGTGACCTCATGGATTTATCAGTGTGAAATCTGCACAGCTTCCTGTGGCAAAACAGTCCCTTTCTACATACAGGCTCCCAGTTCTTTTCTAAAGTCAGTTCAGAATCTATGACTGTCCCAAGATATTTGTAGTATAATGTAATAAAATCATTCTCGTCAAAATTTCAGTGCTTCCCTAGTTAGATGTTTTCATCAGGTTAATAGTGCAGTCGGGCAAGTACAATTCCCTGTCTCTTGCCCCTTCAAAAACATAGGACACAACATTGCTTTCATAATTTTGTCGTGCCTAAAACGTTGGATGCGCCTGAGCTCAATCTTCAGTGTCATAGCAGGGTTTTCACACTTTTCCATTGAATGAATCTGAATGCATCCAGCACCTTTCCGTCGCTCTTCTCTGCAGTGGACCAGCAGGTGAAATCACTGTCCTCCGTGTCAACGGTGTATCGTGGGAAAGATGGAGAGGCAGGAAGCAGTCAGAACCGCTTTGGACGCAATGCCAGCCCCACCTACATCGCAGTGAGTCTCCCTCACAAACACATGCAGGGTTTAACCGCTACAGAAGTCACGTGCACTGAGTAACGCTCTGAACGCAGGTTCCTGTCGGCACGCTTGTGAAAGAGGAGGGCAGCATGCTGGCAGACCTGGCGCAGCACGGCCAGCTGTATACGGTGGCGTACGGAGGTGCGGGGGGGAAGGGGAACCGCTTTTTCCTGTCCAATGAGAACCGAGCGCCCCTGTGCGCCACGCCCGGAGAGAAGGGCCAGGAGCGCGTGGTTCAGCTGGAGCTGCGCACCATGGCCCACGCCGCGCTGGTCAGTGCTAAACCAGTCTCCAAAATCGTCCTCTCACCTGCATGCACTTGTCCTTTCTGTGGATATTATGAAGAATGCTGGTAATCAATCAGTTGTTGGCCACCATTGACTTAGAGTATTTTCTCCCTACCAGGGCCTAAAACTAACTTTTTGCCACACCTGCCAACAGCCGGTGACGTGATAGTTTACCAGCCAAAATATTTTTTTACCGCCCAGAAAACTCTTTTTGCAAAAACAGGCAGTCATTACTACTACAATGACTAAACATATTTACAATGTTTTTAATTTGTCCTTTACTTTACTTACAAGAAATGTATTTAAAAATTTTAAAAATGTATTGATTTATATATATATATTAATAGGGCTATTTAATTAGCTTCATTTGAGGGCCGGATTATCAAACAGAAAATTTGAAGGGGGCCAAGGGGGCGGGGGCCGTCCCGATCTCTTTCTGGGGGGACCTATAAAATTAGAAATTAAATTGAAATGGGAAACATTAGTGCTGTCTGTCAATCGATTAAAAAAAATAATTAATCACACATTTTCCTGTAATTAATCATGATTAATCACATATTTATAGTCACAATTTCACACTGAACCTCCAAATTAATGTAGAAACAACATAAAGATAGTATATTTTAAATATGTTTAAATGGCATCTTTTTACTAAGTAGTATATTATTAATGAAATATTGATACCAATACTGCTACTGGTGTCTACATTTCCCCTCAATTTTACCTATTAATTATAGCCATTCAACATTACAAACACCTTC